TTTCTTTCAAGCACAATCATTTTTTTTACACTAGATTCAGTCACATTAAAATACATACATTACAGAGCCATGGTAAGGTGCATGAATTGTCACAATGGGAATTGTCAGATAACCTGCTGCTCAGAGCCCATTTAATGGTCATTTTTATTAGTCAGTTTCATATTAATATTAAATAGTTGGAGATGACAGCATTTATAGCGGCAGGAAAAATCGATATATTAAAGAACAAATACCAGCACCAGGCGTATTAGGTAGCATAGATACGCATTAGTAAACTTAGTGCCAGCTTTCTAATAATGGATCTCCTACTAGGTATTACTGTTAGAGAAGTACCTATTAGTAATGAGGGCATGTTATTGTACATTACATTCATCATTTAGAATTTACTGTAATTTTATCACATATGGACACTTTATTCATTTACTAACAGGTATATTATCTGCTATTATTGCCAGTAGGAAATTGCATGTTGCCTGTGGATTGTAGGAAGTCCAAGGCCAAGTAAGGAACTGCTGACAAAGTAAATAATGTGTAAGTTCATAGGGACATGGTGCTGGAGGTGCCCTTTGCTTGCTTCTAGCCTATAAATAGGTCTGGTTGCAATCCTTCTGCATGTGAACTTCTGTGGCTTGATGTGCCACTGTTTGCGACCCATGGACAAGATTTCTTCCTTCCATGCATTTTTTTACAGTAATAGATTTATATATCATTCTTGGCCCATCACTATTTGACAAACACATATTTAAATTATCTTCTTATTATCCGTTGCATTTGTCTGTATCATCCACCAAATCCAAATTTAATCTTAAAAGGATGAAACAAAAAATTGCTGAACTCTGACCTTACTATCAGTCTTGCAGAATTGTACAGGCTCCTCTCCTGCTCTGAAATGGCTTTATGTAGGCCATAGATGGGTCAAAAACGGGACTTTTAAAAAAAAAAAATGAAAAATCGGTCGTTCAATAGGCCGACGTTACCACCAGCGGTAAAATAAATTGGACGATTTTTGTCCCATCTACGGCCGGCATTTAATTACTTCTGTCCCTGCAGAGAGCTCCGCTATTATATTTGGCATTAAAAAGTATAGCGGATGCAACAATGTATCTATTTGTATCCATTTTGGATACAGATGTTTTTATTCGGATACAAATAGATACATTGTTGCATAAATAAAAGAAATGCAGCGCTCATAAAAAGTGAGTGAATAATATTAAACACAGTCCGGTGAAAACAGTGCTCCTTGTTTCCCAGTGCAAATGGTAGAATTTCACACTAACCAGAACGCGCATAGGTAATGCGCATGTGTATATATATATCCTGAAGATCCTCTCTCCACTTAGGTCTGGTCAGGTATATAGCTGGGAAAGATGGAGATCCTACGCCCTCATGTGGTGAGAAATAATCCGGCAGGTCAGAGCAGTAACGATCTATGGACACCGAGTGGGAGATAGGGGAGAAGAGACCATTATAGTGCCGCTCAATGCGGTTTTGATTTTTGTCCGCTTGTGGAGGAAACAAGCGTACGAAAATCAAAACCGCATTGAGCGGCACTGTAATGGTCTCTTCTCCCCTATCTCCCACTCGGTGTCCATAGATCGTTACTGCTCTGACCTGCCGGATTATTTCTCACCACATGAGGTCGTAGGATCTCCATCTTTCCCAGCTATATACCTGACCAGACCTAAGTGGAGAGAGGATCTTCAGGATATATATATACACATGCGCATTACCTATGCGCGTTCTGGTTAGTGTGAAATTCTACCATTTGCACTGGGAAACAAGGAGCACTGTTTTCAACGGACTGTGTTTAATATTATTCACTCACTTTTTATGAGCGCTGCATTTCTTTTATTTATGTATCTTGGGACTTTTATGTGTTTTCCTATAATGTTCAGCTGCTTTCCATTGTAGATGAGCGCTTACTATACACTATTATTATTCTCAGATACAATGTTGCAACCGCAATACTTTTTAATGCCAAATATAATAGCGGACTGGAATTCTTCTTCTTCTTCCTCTTCCTCTTCCTCCTCCTCCTCTTCCTCCTCCCCTTCCTCCTTCTTCTTCTCAGATTTTTTATCGGTAAAATAATTGGCCTATTTGCCCATCATTGCCGCGAAAATTGGCCGATCAGCAAAATTGGCCAATTTTTTTCCAACTTTACCGATAAAAAAAAGTGCCAAAATCCAGAAAAACGGCTGACCAATTAACCCATTAACGGTGCGAAAATCGGCCAATTTTTTTTTCCGGTCGATTTTCAACCTACACACTGTGAGATTCTCAGTGTGCATTAGAACCTGCAGCAAGTCAGGCAGAGCCAGCTTTATTTCCTGGCTAGAGAACGTGCGGCATCATCCTCCCCAGCCTTATTGTCCATGGCCCACCCATTTCATTCGTTGGATTCAGTTCTTTCAATCATGAAGACACTTTGGGGTTTATTTACTAAACCTGGTTGACTCAGAATCTTGGGCACCTGTGCATGGTAGCCAATCAGCTTCTAACCTCAGCATGTTCAGTTAAGCTTCAGCAATAAAACCTGGAAGCTGATTGGTTTTTATGCAGAAGTGGACAAGATTCTGAGTCAACCAGGTTTAGTAAATAAACCCCTTTGTCACATATGGGCTATACCTAGGGGGATCTGCATGAAAATACAGCCTGCCCATGAGTGGCAACCCCTGCAGACTAACATCCACCCTTGAATTTTGTATTTGTTTAACTCCTCCCAAGAGTCAGCCCCCCAGGACTGATGGCTCTTGAGAGGAGTACTGAGGCAGGGTGCTGTAATGTTTTCAGGAAGCCTGCCGGTGTCTACCACTAGCCATGATCTGCCTGCTTTGCACACAGAACAGTGATAACATTACTGGGTCTAAAATAAGGTATATAGTGAAAAAGTAACTTTATTATTTAAAAATGTTATTTAAACATTTTCCTGTGTTAAAAATGCATGCTGTTTGAGACAGTTTTTCACTGAGCCTATGGCTCAAAAATCAGACTTATGTTGACTGACCGCTTAAATTGTAGCAGCATGTTGTACTATACACTAAACAAACATGGAATATTATAATGGTTTTTGGTAAATATTATTATTTTTTTCTCTATATTAACAGGATTTTTTTAAAATAAGTATTTAATTTTTCTAAAATATTTACTTTAAATATTATTATATATTAAAATGTTTTTAATATAAGGTGCACTCATGACACCAGTTTTTCAGAGCATTCTTTAACCACTTTAGTACGACGTTATAGCTAAAAGACAGCATGGCTCTCTTGCTCTGGGAGGGTGTCCATAGACCTCCTCCCAGAACTCCGCTCCCTGCACGAGCTCTGTGACCCATGTATCCTTTGGACACAGCTGATCACAGAGAGTGGTAAAGAGCCAATCAGAGTGGCCCTTTACCATGTGATCAGCTCACTGGTGGACTGACAACTCATGGGGCCCCCGGGCAATAGGGGATCATGGGGCCCCTGTGTCCTCGCCCACACTCAAAAAAAGCCTATGAAAAGGTACCAAGGGCATCTCATGGGGCCCCCTACTGACCCCGGGCTCTCGGCCAGTGCCCGAGTTCTCAGATGGTCAGTCCGCCCCTGGATCAGCTATGTTCAGTCACAGATAATCACATGTAAACAGATAAGCACGCTATGTCTGTGTGAGGAAAAGCCGGCCGATACCCAGCAATGCTGTAAGTACTTTGTTTACACTGATAATCAGTGCCCTGATTTTCAGTGCAGCTCCATCAGAACCCATCAGTGCAGCTTATCAGTGCCACCTATCAGTGCACCTCCCATCAGTGCCTCCTCATCAGTACAGCCTTGTCAGTGCCCATCAGTGCAGACTATCAGTGCCCATCAGTGCAACCTCATCAGCCCACATCAGTAAAGAAGAAATATTACTTACTTGCTAAATTTTATAACAGAACTAAAGAAAAAAAATTTTTTCCCCCATAATTGTTAGTCTTTTTTTTGTTTGCTTAGCAAAATATTAAAAGCTCAGTGGTGATTAAATACTGGGGATGCACCAATACCCTTCTTTTATGGATGCAAATTGCACTGCAAAGAATAGGATGCAATTTGAACGGGAATGCAATTCCTGTACAAATTGCATGCGGTTTCCCAACTGCTCCTGAGTGAACCCAGGCTGTCATAGTCTGAGTTCACACAGGAGCAGTGCAGGAAGGTTTCCATGTGATGGTGCTGACCAATCCAAAGCTCTTTATCTCAAACTGTTATCCCTGCAAGGAGAAGAGAGAATGCGTCCGGGATTTCGAATCCCCACTGCTTCCTCTCCTCTCCTACCGCTGAGAATATGGAACATCTGCCACCGTAGTATACGTCCCCACATGCCCACTTTCTGCTCAAAGTGGGATGCCTGCGGGGAGGTTTCTTGCACTGCTCCTTTGTGAACTCGGGCTATGACAAGCCTCTGTTCATGCAGGAGCAGTAGGGAAACCGCATGCATACTAATCTTTGCAGTGCAATTTGAATTGATACAAATCGCTCCGCAAAGTATCAGTTTCTGGCATCAGGAGCATTTTCAAGAGTACAAGTACTCGTGAAAATACTCGATATCGGCACCAATACCAGTGTCAGTGCATCCCTATTAAATAACACCAAAGTAAAGCTCTATCTGTCTGAAAAAAAATATAAAAATTGCCCTGTCCAATTTTCAGTGCTGAAAGCTACCTGGACAGGAAGGGGGTTGCCCGGTATTGAAGTCTTAGGAAGAAAACCCAGCAGTAGGTTATACTCTTTTTGACTACCTTTTTTAAGTCTCCATACAGCTTCCTATGAGCAGAACAAGAAGCAGTGAGTCACAGTGTCTATTTTGAGTTTCAGCTAATCAGCTTAGTAATTAAGATTTATTCCCATCAAAGTTGACTGCTGACTGAAAACAGTACAGAGAAAATATGTAATAAATATGTAAAATATGTAATAAATGTAATACATATTTCATAAACATTTTATATGTTTAGTTAATACAGATATTACATGTAATCTATAATGCTTTGTATAAAATGTTTATTTTATTCGTTATTGGGCTATCAGTACAAAATTGATGCTTTTGTCCTTTTCCCCTCCAGGATCTATATTGATGTGACGAACTGTACCTATCTATTGGCCAACCATGAGCACTGTTTCTGGCCGAACCACATAGTGGATAATTTCTTCACAAATATCCACAGAAACTATTTCAAGAACTGTGCCCTGACTGGCAGGCTACCAGCTGACCCGCCATTCCCTGTCCTGTGCTCTTTCATCTTTATCCCCATCCTTATAACTCTCCTGATGACAGCACTTGTAGTGTGGAGAAGCAAACGCAGCGAAGGAATTGTCTGACAGCTATGACAGCGACAAACCCTTTCTAGAGACTGCCTTTTCATCCAAGCTTTGGGAAGAGTGGAACACTGTTACCTTAATTCTGCATTCTGTTTGAAGCACAAGTCTCTAAAATGAAGCCAGTAACAAGTCGTGAAGTTTCCAAGATGGCTTTCATTACAGCCTATTGAGATATATTTGACTGAGTGGCTCTTAATATAGAGCAAAGGACATAAAAGATTGAAGCTGCAAGCATAAGGACTTTCCACCAGTTCAATTTAGCGGTACCATTTGTGTTAGAAGAAGATAAAGCAACAGGGTTTTTCCATTATAACAGTAACTCTGATGTGGATTAAAGACTTAAATGACTGAGATAAAGTTACTAAGGCTGCTGAAAGACACAATATGTAGTGGCAAATATTAATGCAGATAATGTTGCAGTATATGTGAATTTCTTTGTAGCATAGTTCCCAAAATGGAACATAGTAAAACCCAATTAATATCTGTTGATCAGAGCTGCCTTCTCTGATGCTCATAGATATTCTATAATATTATATATGGCATTAATTACCCTAAATAAATAAGGAAAGTACTTCTGTGCAGAAAATACACATCGACCAATCAGAAGTCATCATTCATTGCTCTGACAAATCTGATGAAAGCTAAAATCCAACTGGCTGCTGTCACTTTCTGCATGGTCTGGAGTATCAAACAACCTTGATTCAGATTTATTTAGTCAAAAGGTACAGATAGCAATGATGAAGCACAAAAGGGCAATTTACTCACAGCAACTATTTAAAATAGAAGTATGGGTTATAAAAAAATAAACATTTATACTCACCTAGGTGGATGCAGCATCTATTTGATGCTGCATCTGTTCCCCCGCAGGCTCTAAGGCTGGCCATAGACGGTTTGAATCTCAGCCATATCGAACCGTGTGTAGGCAGGCTGAATGTACCAAGTTGATTGATCGCTACTATAGCCAATAGCAATAATCATTGTCTTCTCCCGGTGGGAAGGCTTCCTCCAATGGGAGAAGACAATTGTTTGGCAGGAGGGATTCCCCTGTCAGCACTGTTTGTGTTGATGAGGGAATCATGAGGATTTCTTTCCTGCTGCCCATGGTTGTAGAAAAGAAATTCATACCATCTATGGCCTGCCTTACACTAAGAACTGAGCAATCAAACACTATTTACCGTTCAGTTCTCAGTCTTCAGGCTGCAGAGAGCCAGTGACTGTCAGGACGAGAGCTGCTGGCTCAGACTCTCAGTGGGTTGCTGTCAGCCCAGGCATCTGGATAGATCCCAACCATGTGATCGGGATCTTTTGAGAGCCTGGACCGACTCTGTGAAGTCAGCCAACAGTGGGCTTTAGCGAACTGCACTCATGTGATCCTCAGAAGTATAGCCAAAATAGCTTTGGCTACACTTCTCCTTTACAGGTTTCTGTAGCCTGCTCACTTAATAGGTTGTATCTAAATGGTTTCTGTGGTTTACTGCCCTATTGAATAAGGCAACATGTGTCTTAGGGTAACCACCTAATTTATAGCATTTATCTGAAATGCCTTTTCTTCCTCTTTAATTCCCAAATGTCACACTTGAGGTTGTGGCCATTGCGCTTTGTTCATACAACGTGGCTTTTCTTAAACAGGGAAAAAAAATCATTTTATTTAAAGAAGCACTGTTGTTAAAATGGTGTATCCTTTTCTTTTATGTGTAAAGATAGCTTTAAGTGAAGCAGAGAAGTATTTTCTATAGCTAAAATTTGTACTAATGTCTATTTTTGTTTCCTAAGAAGAACTATATGTGTGTAATTAAATTGTTTCCATTGTTAGTATCTTTTTATTGATGTGATGTTCTTCAGACTATCCTCAAAGTGTCTCACAAACATATTGTTCTCGGTATTCAGGCCTCCTGGACAAGAAAGGACTAATTACGTTACGTCCAACTTGCCTTCTTTTTGGGTGGAATGTGTAGAAGAAAATGGCTGTGTCACAAGTAATCTAAACTGTGCCATGGTACCGTAGGGTTCGTGCAACTCCAAGTCACCAAATCAGAGTAGAGATTTGCAGAGCAGGAACAATAACTAATGAAACCTCATAGGAAAATCTTCAGAGATTCTCTTGTCCCATTAAACTTCATCTACAAGGCAGTCTTTCCACACGGACATGCCTAATTGTAAAGTTCAAACTAATGCTGCACTATGCAAATGAACTACAAAGCATTCTGTCACAAGTGCCTGAACTATACATACATTCATGATATCCTATACATTCTCCATATGCAATAAACCTTTGTGCAGTTATATAGAGGAAACTTGGCTCCTCCATCAGTCATATCTGCTGCAGCTACAGTTAGAGATATGCAAATATGCTGTGTTCTTCTGTGGGGTTCAAGCAGTGTTTCTCAACCTTTTTCCAGTCGGGGTGCCCTTGAAAAGTCATGAGGCACCACTGTCCAAGGCTTGGTCCACGTTACTGTGTGTCGCGGAACGCACGCAAACTCGCGCTCATTCTTGACACACAGACAAATGCTCTGCTCTTTAGGGGTATCCCCACACCTTGACAAACGCGGGATGTTTATGGTGGGGTGCAATTTTAACAGCTTTCCCATCGCCCTATAGCAGATAGACTGCTACAAGGGTGCGCAAAATCACGTATTTATACATGATTTTGCATTTCCGGGTAGGGGGCTTGCACAAAGCACGCATGTGCCCTACCTGCGCCACCATTCGCTGCCTCGGCTGTCAATCACTGGGTCCCGGCTGGTGATTACTCGCCGGCGCCCGGTGATTGCCGAGCATCTCTGATGGGGGGGGGGGGAGAACTGTTTGTAAACAAAACAGTTCTCCGCTCTGTCAGCTCATGCACACTGCTTTGGATGGCTGTGAACACTGCTTTGGATGGCTATGTAGAGCACAGCCATGCAAAGCAGTGTGCTTACAGTGAAGCACAAACACACAGCCCCTAGTATAACATACCCAGCACACAGTTAATCCTTTGATCGCCCCAGATATTAACCCCTTCCTGCCCAGTGCCATTTGTACAGTGTCAGTGCTTTTTATACTTTGTATGGGTGTCACTAGGGATGTCAGTGACACCAAATCAGTTCCTCCCAGTGTCAGAATACCCTCTGCAGTATCGCTAAAAGTCACTGATTGCCGCCATTACTAGTAAATAAAACCCCAAAAAAATCCCAGTATATATACCGCCATTTGTAAACTATAATTTTCACATATACTAATTAATTTACAGGTATTGGGATATTTGTTTTAGCAAAGACATGGAGCAGAATACATTTTGGCTTAAATTTGTGACGAAATTAGATTTTTTTAAATTTTTTTACTGGACATGTTTAATAGCAAAAAGTCAAAATATTTTTTTTTTTCTCAAAATTGTCTTTTTTTTTATATAGCGCAAAAAATAAAAAATGCATAGACACACAAACACACATACACACAGACACATGTACACACAAACACTCATGTACACACAGACAGACACATGTACACAGACACACGTACACACAAACACAGGCACATGTACACAGACACACACACACAGACACATGTACACACACACAGACACATGCACACACACACAGACACATGTACCCAGACACACGTACACACAAACACTCATGTACACACACACACAGACACATGAACACAGACACACGTACACACAAACACACATGTACACACACACACAGGCACATGTACACAGACACACGTATACACACACAGACACATGTATAGAGCCCTATAGAAAGTTACAGTAGATCATTTCCATGACACAGCTGGGTACTGCACTCTAGGGGGAGGCAGAGAGCACAGAAGACACTCCCCCTCCCTTTGCTTTCACTGTGCTCAGCAGTGTGACGTCCCCCAGTGCTGATGTACAGTGCGGCTGGGGATTCAGTGCCATGCTCACCAGGGCCAGTTCTTCGCCTGTCTTCAGGTCCATGACGGTGGCATGTTAACTGTGGTAAGCCAGCTGTGACCACTAGACCACTTCACAGCCGGCTCCCCACTGCATGTGCACGAGCTGTGCTGAGCCTTGTGAATGGACCCGCAGCTTCCTGGGACCTGTGAAGTGTCCCAGAAGGCTGCGGGTGTGAGGGGGGAACACAAACTTCTAATCAGATTGCTTAGGTGGTCGGAGTGGTAATGGAAGTGGGCACCTCTCAAAACTACCCCCTCCACCCCCAAAAAATATATATAATCCAAATATGGCAGGGGTGGGGAGAAGGAAGAAAGGCAGAACTTCTGCTTTTGGATGAAGTTCCACTTTAAGGACGGGGCAGCTCCAGAGGAGAGAAGACTATAATGACCTGGAACTTCAGGTCATCAACCCAACAACAACTGGAAAAAGGTATGCTTATTTAAAAATTAAAAAAAATAAAAATATGCGGGAAGCCTAGCCATGACTGGTTCTTCTTCAGCCAGCCTGTTATGGGTCAATGCTGTTAATTGGTTCTTACACTATGTACAATTATGTCTAGTTTACAATTAGTACAGATTGCTAAAAAAGAGAATGGAACCCCTTAGATTGGCCTTCAGATTGATCAGCAGGATTTCTTCTTTTGGTGATCTTACTCTGGCATTCAAGGATTCCAGTACCCACAAACCAATGCCATTGGCGCTCTTCCAACTTGGCTAAATCATTTTGCTTGCGTAACAATTAGTTTTGGTGGACTTTTGTAATGTTATGTATATTAATATTGGATGCTGAAATATCTTGACATCCACCATGATGAAACAGTACATTTGCTTTGAAAATGTTATCCCATCATATCCAGTAAGCTCTAGAATCACACACAAGGACAAAAGATAATTTTGATGCCTTATTTAGTTGCTTCCATGCCTAAGCACCTATGGGGGAGATTTCTAAAACTGGAGAGTGCAAAATCTGGCACAGCTCTGCATCAAAACCAATCAGATTCCAGGTTTTATTGTCAAAGCTTAATTGAACAAGCTGACATTAGAAGCTGATTGGCTACCATGCACAGCTGCACCAGATT